AGAAGATAATTCTGGATAATCTTATCATGAGAATCTGAATGACGTGAAATGGCACAGCGGTTTTCCTGAGTATTTTGTACCAAACGCATCTTCCCGTATCAAATGTTTTTTGTGGTAATTTAGAAGGAAGAATAGCGTATCTTTGCCATAAGTTTATTCCAAAAACATCGCTGAATATTAACGAGCATCTATCGACTGCTGCCATCCTCGAAGAAAACGCCGCCATCCGTTGTACAGTATCTGGGACAAATACCGGGCTCTCCCTTCTTACCAGGTAATCCATCTTGCCCAGGAAGTCCTGGCTTTCCAGCTTCACCCGTTTTTCCTATCAGACCAGGAGATCCTTTTGGTCCAGGCTTACCTTAATCAATTCTCTTACACCTCAAAAAAGCGTAAATCAGCTCATTCTACCTGATACACCAGCTTTTCCCGGCTTTCCTTGAAGTCCCGGAGGTCCTTCTGGTCCAACGGGTCCCTGAATTCCAGGTTCACCAGGAATATCGGGAAGATCATATGCAGATTCGCCTTTCTGTCCTTGTTTTCCAGGTGGTCCAGGTGCTCCGCATGGTCCTGGAGGACCATTTGGACCTGGTTCACCAGGTGCTCCGTCGCAGCCAGGCAATCCTGGTTTACCATCGTCTCCTGGTTTTCCCGGTAATCCTTTCGGTCCCTTCAAGCCTGGAGTTCCTGACGGACATGGTTCGCATGGTGGAGGAGTTCTTTGCTCACATTCGATCGCTAATGGCCTGCCGGGATTTCCCGGCATTCCGGGCACTCCAGATCTTCCTGGTTTTCCAGGACGGCCAGGTTCTCCTGCCACCCCTTCAGGACCTGGAGCGCAGCATTCGCTGCAGGTGTCTTCCTTGCTGGGCTTGTTTTTATCTCGTTGCACTTCATGATAGTCTGCCTGCCGAACTGTTCTGTTTGCGGGAAGGAAGTTATTGATATGAGAAACTTCCTCCAAGATATTAAAGGCCGTTTTCTGAAGAAAGAGAGATTAAAAGTGAAAAGAGTCATTGTAGGTCTACCTTGCAGTTATGGATTTCTTGATTTAAGCTTCTTTTCACATGGTTCACGTAGCTATGAGTCATTGGG